TGTGACACTTGCATTTATTGGAAGAATTTTTCATTTCAGGCTAGGAATATTAAGAAAAAATCAAGGGATGCACAATTTCTGAAAAGCAAACTTGAGGCATGGGCGAGCTTCGGGTTGGGAAGGTGAGGTGCTATGGTAGTGGAAAACACCAATATGGCAAATACAGAAAGAACTCTTTTCGGTGAGATAAGAGAAGTAGTACATTAGGAGACAAAAGATCGGTTTTGATTTGTATTCATTGATGGGGTGTGGGCATCCCTGGCACGGGTCAGCATTTGTTGTCCATTCCTAGTTGTCCTTGAGAAGGTGGTGGTGAGCTGCCTCCTTGAAATTGCTGTAGACCCATAATACCATAAGGATGGGAATTCCAGAGAGACAGTGGCACTGAAGGAATGGTCATGTAGTTCTGAGTTGGGATGGAGTGGTTTGGAGGGGAGGTTGCAGGTGATGGTTTCCCCATGTATTTGTTGCCCTGGTTCTTCAAGATGACAGTTGTGTGTTTAGAAGGAGCTTGAATTTCTGCAGTGCATCTTGTAGATGGTATACACCGCTGCTACTGAGCATCAGTGATGGACAAATCGAATGTTTGTGAATATGCTATCTATCCAGTTCATTTGTTCTAGATGGTATGAAGCTTCTTGAATGTCATTGAAGCTTCGCTCATCCAGGCAGGTGGGGAGTATTCCATCACACTCCTGACTTTAGCCTTGTAGATGGCAGATAGACTGTGTGGCATCAGATGGTAAGATACTGCAGGAATTCCAGCTTTTCACTTGCTCATGTTGTGCAGTTTTATGTGGCCATTACAGTTTCTGGTTAGTAGTAGCCCGTAGAATGTTGGTAGTTGGGGATTTAATGACAGCAATTCCATTGAAAGTCAGACTTGGATGATTAGATACTCTCTTATTGGTCTTGTTGGAGATGGTCATTGCTCAGCACTTGTCAGTTCAAACCTGGACCACTGAACTGTGAAATACAGATAGATACACAGACGAGCAACAGATCGTGACTCTTTAAGCATGGATTCTGTTTGGCACTAGGATTTTGCCATGCAGGCAATAAATGGGCCACTTGCAAACCATCTTATAGAAACCCTGCAGTGCAAGATATGTGCACAGATGGAGGGGAAGTTGTGGGAGCATTGATCATTACAGATACTGTGGTTATGAATCCGATTTGTAGTGGCACAACAAGTTACAGAAACAAAATTTGGAGAAAAAGAAAAGCAAGTGAATTGATATGGGTATTTTCACAATATTGATGTGCAATAATTATCAAAATACAATTCCGTAAAAGAATTGGGCGAGAGGTTTAGTTCCTTGACCTCTTAATAACAGGAAAGTTGTATTATAACATGTCGTGCATTGTATAACATTCATCACTGAGGTGCCCCCCTTACAAGCTTAAAAATTATTTTTTGAAAATTCCTCCGTGCTGAACTTTGGGAGCCGTAACACAAATTGTACAATCAAACCTACCTACCTTTTTATAATTCCAAATTCAATGAACACCATAAAAAGAACATTGCGATATGTTACTCCAGTGATAAAGACATCAAGTATCTATCTAATTGGTGGTCATTATTTGTGAATGTTTATGCTTCATCTTTCGAACAGCTCTTGTTATAAAGGTTAGCATGAGATATCTCCAAAATCAAAAATCCACTTCTACATTTAATATTCAGCACAGAAATGTTCCTTATTTGAATATGCAATGAGAAAAGAAACACAAAATGAAGTTGCTGTAATATTCTGAATATAAATACAATCAAAAGGGAAATGGAGCAGAACAGTTAGGGATTACAGAGATAGTAGGAATTGCAGATTACTTTCATTTTTAGCTGATCATGATAGATTTTTGATTGACAAGGAAGTTAAGAATTATGGGAAACAGGCAAGAAGGTCACAGTGAAATGATTTGGAATCTTACTGACTAGTGAAGCAGGCTCAATGGGTTGAATGGACTTCTCTTGTTCCCCTTGTCTTTTTTTTTGTAGTAATCGTTGTTACAAGTTAGAACTTCGGCCAGAATGACCATCATCGTTGTTCTGCGAGTATTGCATCTTGCTGGTTCTGTGACACATCTTTTATCAGTGTTACTGGCTACACTCTGATCACATCATTTTCCGTTTACATGTTTGCTTCATCTGCCTTCAACTGAATAATTTTAATCAATCTGAAGTAAATTTTTAAATGTCACATTTGTGTCCATCTTTGACTAAAATAAGTTTGTTATTGAATCATCACAAAGAAAATATTGCTTTCATGCATGTGATGTTACCTGTTGCATCTATTTTATATCATTCAACGGGATATATCAACTCCAACACTTAAATCAAGCCAATTTTAAACTAATACCCTAAAATCTCTATTGTACTGGGAATTGTTCATGTAGAGAAAGGAGGCTTCTACTGCCTAAAGATCAGTGAGCGTTACTGCTCTGCATAGACCTTGTTCAATGATTTGATAAAATGTATAAACTTTTTTTTGTAAAGCAATTAAACTAATTTTACAGCAAAAAATAATTTTGGTTTAACACTAGATTTGTATTTGAACAATATTTTCTCCCAGTGGTTGAAGAGTTAAACAGCTGTGTCTTTGTGTAGGCTGCATCAAAACCTATTCATAGTATTACATTAGTTCATCTTTCTGAAACAGTGATGTCATCTTTCCGAGAACACTAGGGCTTTGGTTTACCAGAAAGAGTAGAACTTTTCCTGTTGACACCTGAAATGTAAGCATTGTTAAAATGATCATGGAAACATTATTGAACCCTTAATGATGTAGAAACTGGCTGATTACATATTTTTGGAAAACAGCTTATTTCAAAGGAGTCATATGCTACTCAAAACTGTTTATAATTATATTTTGTGTAAAATGCCAGCTCTTTCAATGCACAATGACTGTTCTACATATTTTTGTAGTCAACATGTGATCGCTATCATTTTAAACTGGAAGTTACATTTTCTCAGTTTGAAAACACAAATAGGATGAATAGAATGTGTATGCACAGGAAGATGGCACAAGCAGTTCTACATTACAATATAACTTTTTTATTGTGAGAAGCTGATGAAACACTAGCATTAATAGTCAGGACTGTATTGATTTTAATTGTTTAAAATGAGGTTTTTCATAAATTTCATGGTAATTATTTTCTCTGTTCTGTAACTTCTCAAAATAATCCTGTTCGATAAAGTACTGGCAGGGAGTCAAAGCCATTCTTAAATATCCAACTTTGCCTCTAAGTTGCTTTATAACTTGGGGAAATAACAATGTTGTAAAATATTTCATTAGTTGGATTGCTTAATAATAGTGGGAATTTACAGACCACCATAAATGAAACTGTTGTTTGAGGTACGCCACCCAAGATACACCAGTTTTTTTGAGATTCTGAGCAAATTCATTTTTATGCTTAATTAGCAGATCTCTAGTGGTGTTGCTCACTGAGTTTAGGTTTTGTGCATATACAGTGTATACAACCAAGTAGTATTGAGAAGAAAGTTTGATTTTAAATTTTGTTTTTGAGACCTTAAAATAATACAGGACCAGATGTCTTGTGGTACTGGGATAAAGATGAGCTAACTTTTAGTTTCAAAGTAAACGTTTTGGGGTGGAAGGTACGAGTGTCACAGGACAGAGGAGCACAGACAAAATTTCTTATAACACTGGGGCATGTTTTGGGTGCAGAGGTTTTCGAGGTGGTGATCCTAATTTGGAATGCTGAGAGCCCTTGAACACTGTTTAGAATGGCAGTTTGGTGAATTTCTTGCAGTGTTGAATTGTTAGATGTTCTGCCTACTCTGGTGAATATAGTTGAAGGGAAAAGACTCCATTATTGTTCTGTTTCAAGAAACTTGCTGAAAGTAAATTGGTAAATGTGGAGCTGGAGGTCACTATCTCTGAAAGTAAATTGACATGCTTTCGTAGTAACAGTGACTAAACTGCAAAGCAGTTGTGATACTGTTGAAGCTTTTAAGTTGGTGGATAATAGTTAGGGACTTTAGAGATCACTTTAAATTATAATTTTAACATAGGTCCTTTTTCTCCTTTTGAAGTTTTTTTTTGTGATTATGAACTATTTTGAGAAATGTGTTGAACTGCTTGAAATTAAGAAGCTTAAATTTAGAAGAACATAATGTATTTTGCTGGATGGGTGGTACTGGGCAGATTATGAAACCACCAACCAGATGAAACTGAGACTTTAGTCTCCAAAGCACAGTGGGAAATGGCTTGTAGTCCTATTCCCATTGTGGCCTTTGCAGTCTTTCCATGGCTGTTTTGTTGATAGACAGTGTTTCCTCTGTTTCCCACTTAATCTGCAAATCAAAATCTAATGGTTGGCAAACAGCATGCGACGCAAATCTAGAACAAAACTGTGCAGAGTATGCCGCTTGCATAATTTCCCCATTATCTGCTAGCAGTTTGAACAAATAGGAGTTAGGAATTAAATGGGTCTGGCAGTTACCCCACGACCAGAAATCAACCTGGCCTGCTGCTGCTTCAGCTTGGAGGCTGCACAGTTTTGTGACCAGAGACTGGAATTCTCCACAGTCTTTTTTTTAACCTGTAGGACAGTGATAGAATGCTAAGCAGCTCTGTTCTGCTGAGACTAAGTTGGGGACAGGCGCCAGTGGTATGATATTACAACTTCCTGCGCAAGTTCTTTTGGGAAGAGAATCTACCCTTTGTAATTCATTACTCAAGTTGGTTCCCGAAGCCCCATTCTTGTTGAATCAAGATGAGCTAGGATAATTTTTCCATTTCAGGCAGTAGCTTTGGGATCAGAACCAGGAAAAGTGAGTACGCCAGGAGCTGTGTGGTGACTCTTAAATTTTGAATTGTTGAATTTCAGTCTTCTGTAACTTCTTCTTGATTTGGTTTAAAATCCAGATCTACCATCCTATTTAAGTTTTAGTTCAGTTTCTTTCATATTGTATGTATCTACGTGCATGTATGCAACACCTCCATTGAAGCATTATATTCTTTGTTCTTGCATTGTAGTTGACCACAGCCGTGTGAAGCTTCAGAAAGCAGACAATGATTATATCAATGCAAGCCTAATTGTTATGGAAGAAGCCCAGAGAAACTACATTTTAACCCAGGTAGGTAGTTTTAGAATGAGCCACATTAAGAGTGATTGTTGCAGAGTATGATTAAACATAAAACTGTATTCCATTTTAAGCAGTTCTGAACAGTGTTCCCTCTAATTTTTCTGGGGTTGTGCGGAACCCAGTAGCCTGAAAGGTACATTGCATCCATTGAGCGCAATTGCAATTTGTGATATTGCAATTTTTTTTTTTGCAGTTTGTATATGAACTAATAAAAGTGTGCCATTGTAATTTCTAGTTACAGGTATTCTACCTGCTAAACTAAGCAAAAGTGTTTGCTTGGCTATGAAATCTGAGGACCCATCTAGTGGTGATGCTATTTACATTATATACATTGTGACCAAAAGTGAACACTACTAATTTATTTGCTCCTTCGCAGTTTTTTCATGCTTATCATTATTTGCTGCTCAATGGTTGTAAATTGCATCTAGGATGATTTTTGTCTAGATAACATGTATGACTTTACTTGGACAACTTGATACAAGTTATCTATCTCTAATCTATTTACATTTAGTCAAGTTCGTGAAGTTAAATTCACACTAACAGTCAGCACTTGATGCGTGAAATATTGCACAAATGTCCAGAGGAATTGACCATTCATGAAACCCGGTCATCTTTTAGAGCATAGTCCACCAAATGACGAATATCTGAATGGAGCATGTCTTGACTTTTTCCACAGCCATAAGTTTGAAATCAGGGTTGTTCACATATTTCATCACAGTTTGGTAAAAGAGGAATATTTCAGCAGTCACTCAACATTGTCTTTTCCAAATTCATAATCGATTGTCCTGGCGATTGCAGTATGATCAAACATATGCCACCCATGTAATTCCTCTTCTGAAAATCTACTTTCCGGGTAGTCACACAGCAGTTGAATAAATTGAAGCATTGGGATAGCATCCACATCACTGTCAGAAGCAGCCAGAACCTTCTTAACTTCACTCAAATAGACATGTTCACCTAGATACTGAATCTCCAGTTTATTGTTCTTGACCCCTGCAAATTGCTTTGGTTCAACTGTTGTCAAACAGCGTCTTTGCAATAATTCTTTCTTTCTTATTCATTCATGGGATGTGGGCATCACTGACTAGGCCAGCATATATTTTCCATCTAATTCCCCAGAGGACAGTGAAGAGTCAACCACATTCCTGTAGGTCTGGAGTCGCATGTTGGGCAGAGCAGGTAAAGACGGCAGTTACTTTTCTGGAGGACGTTGATGAACCAGATTGCTGGGTACATGATCATGATGACTCTTGATTCCAGATGTTTATTGAATTCAAATTCCACTATCTGCCTTTGTGGGATTGAAATCCGGATCCCTGGAGCATTTCCTGGGTCTCAGGATTAGTAGGCCAGTGATAGTACCACCAGGCCATCTGGGGTTTGAATCACACCATGGTCACTGGTGAAATTTGAATTCGATAAAAGTAATCTGTAATAAAAAGCGAGCCCAGAGCAGGCACCAGGAGTATCTAAGAATGAGGTCTCAACATTGTGAAGCTATGGCATAGGACCGCTTGCATGCTAACAGCATAGCCACGAAGTAATAGACAGGACTCCGTAATTTCACAACAAACAGGTGAGATGTATGCTCTGCAGTCCTATGACATCCAGTCATAAATGGTGGTGAACAATTAAGTAAGTCACTGAAGGAGAAGGCTCCACAAATATTCTATCCTCAATGATGGCAGGGCTCAGCACGTTAGTGCAAAAGTTGAGGCTACAGCATTTACAACAGTCATCAATTAGAAGTGCCGAGGGGGTGACTCATCTTGGCTTGCTTTAGAGGTTCCCAGTGTTGTAGATGCCAGTCTTCAACCAATTTGATTCACTCCATGTGATATCGAGATGGCTACTGCAAAAGCCAGGGTCTGAACAACATTCTGACATTAGTATTGCAGAACAAATCTAAAGCACCAGTTATTGCCCATCAGTCTCTTATTGATCATCAGTAAATTGATGGAAGCAGTCGTCAACAGTACTATCAAGGAGCACTTGCTTGGCAGTAACCTGCACTTTGAAAGATAACCACCGATGCATTCCCTATTTCTAGGGCCTCTTCTTTTAAGTACTGTGTGAAGTAAATATCCTGGGGATTCATCGGTCTTAACTCCACCAGTTTCTCCAACACCACTTCCCTCGTACTGATTTCCTTCAGTTCCTTCTTCTGACTAGACCCTGTTTTCCCCAATATCTTTGGGATGTTATTAATGACCACCTTGGTAAAGACAGAATCAAATTAAAGATTTAATTCCCCTTCCATCTCTTTTTCTCATTGTAACTTGCCTTGTTTCTGATTGTAAGACTTTATAACTATTGAGGTCAAGGCATTAAAATGGTCAAAGCAGTTTTTAGTTTTTTTTTTAAACACAAAGGCCCATTGGTGACTGGATCACCGTTTAAAATGGCTAAGAATATAGTCAAGGCAGTCTTTGTGATTATACAATCCAGGAATTTCTTTGGAGCTACCCACATTCTAAATGTATGGTCACCAGTCCCAGCATTGACAAATACTTGGTGCTGCAGTGTTATATGCCGCCATGCCCATAACAACAGACCATTCAGGCTTTTATTGACTCTGATGGAAGTGACTTTTCTTTCATTTAGAAATCAGCTGAGTCTAGTGAATGTATTGAATGTAGTAGTATCAAAAGAACAAATGAAACAATCTACTGTAAAGAAATGTGAAGAAAGCATTTTCTAGCATACCTTTCTGGATGTCTGTTCGCTTTAATGATGCAAATCTCAAAACTTAACTCCATTTTGCATCTAATTGAAAATTCAAATATGCTGTCTAATGGATATCAAAATGAAGACAATAGGCTAGGAGTATCTCTGCAGATAATTTCAATTCAAAGCAGACAGTTCTACCGAACTGAACAAATGCAGTCACTGGCTGTTGGAGTCCTTTTCTTTCTTTTAAAAGAAAAGTTCTGATTTGATCTACTCTACTGAAGCCTGACTGACATGTTTTTAACATGAGGCACAATTTCTAAAGCCTTGTGCTGATGTTTATTCTTCAACAGAACTTAACAGGAAATGCTTGCAGGGACTTCGTTGATTTAGGGCATCACAGTTTCAACAGATGCTGTTTGCATTATTTGTACACGTATGCACACAGACACTTGCAATAGTTATCACTATATATTTATACAGGGTAAAAACCTCATTAATTCAACCATCCCAAATTCTGGCTCAGAATGTTGATACCATTCGTAGAGGCAATTGTTGCCTTTGCTGTGATTAACTAATCCAGCATACACTGAATTTGTAGTCTTCTCGTGCCACTCAATCTTGTATTTTATAGTTGGTATCAATTTAATCCACTTACTTCTAATCCTTAATGTTCAAATAATGTCAATCAGAAAGCCTTAGCTCTGTGCCACTGCTCATTGATTAAGAAATTGCAAATGTATTTACACTTTTCCTTTTCAGCGCAGCTCTAGCTAAATAATGCAGCTTTTACTTGTCTGAAGTAAATTAGCCAACTCTGCACAGACCATTCTGTAAATGGCTCTTGTGGCACAGTGGTAGTGTCTCTACCCCTGAGCTAGGAGGCCCAGGTTGAAGTACAACCGGCTCCAGAAGTTGGTTAGAAAATATCCAGAACATTGTGTAAGAGTAGTTTTGTGGTGATGTCATGGAGCTGCCATCACTGAATATAAATATCACTATGGGCAGAGTCTTTTTATTTTGTGGGATGTGGGGGTTGCTGGCTGGCCAACATTTATTGCTAGTTCCTATTTGCCCTATTTGGCGATGAGCCCCCTTCTTGAACTGCTGCAGTCCACCTGCTGTGGGTTGACCCACTATACCATTAGGGAGGGAATTCCAGGATTTTGACCCAGTGACAGTGAAAGAACGGCGATACATTTCCAAGTCAGAATGGTGAGTGGCTTTGAGGGGAACCTGAAGGTGGTGGTGTTCCCATATATCTGCTGCTCTTGTCCTTCTGGATGAGTGCAGCTCCAACAACATTCGAAGCTTGACACCATCATGGGTTTGGAAGGTGCTGACTGAGGATCTTTGCTGAATTTCTGCAGTACATTTTGTAGATGGTACGCACTGCTGCTACTGAACATCGGTGGTGGAGGGAGTGGATGCTTGTGGATGCAATCATGCCAATCAAGCGGGCTACTGGATGGTTTCAAGTCCCTCATCCCATGAATGAATAAAAAAAAAGCTTCTTGAGTGTTGTTGGGTCTGCACTCATCCAGGCAAGTGGGGAGTATTCCATACACTCCTGACTTGTGTTTTGTAGATAGTGGACAGGCTTTGAGGAGTCAGGAGATGAGTTACTTGCCACAGTATTCCTAGCTTCTGACCTGCCACTGCGTTCATGGTGAGTTCAGTTGAGTAAATTTGCGGAAGGTTGGGGGAGCTGCGGAAAGTGAGGATTGCCAGAGGATACAGCAAGCTATAGGATACGCCGGAGACTTGGGCGGAGAAATGGTAGATGGAATTTAATGTGGACATTGGGGTGATGCGTTTTGGAAGGTCGAATAGAGGAGCGAAATATACAGTAAATGGCAGGATCCTTAGAAGCATCAACAGAAGGAAGGATCTATGCGTACAGGTTCACAGTTCCTTGAAAGTGACAACACAAGTTGATAAGGTGATCCAGATGGTATTTGGCATGCTTGCGTTTGATTGGGCTATAAAGTATAAAACTTGGCAAATCATGTTGCAGCAGTATAGAACTTTAGTTAGGCCAAATGTGCAATATTGTGTGCAGTCCTGGTCACCACACCACCAGAAGAATGCGGAAGCTTTGGAGAGGGTACAGAAAAAGTTTACCAGGATGTTGTCAGGTTTGGTGGGTCTTACTTATGAGGAGTGATTGGACAGACTTGGTTTGTTTTTGTTTGAATGTTGGAGGCTGAGGGGTGACCTGATGGAGATATACAAAATTATGAGAGTCATGGATAGAATGGATAGTTGGTATCTTTCCTTCCCAGGGTAGAAACATCATTTTACTAGGGATGTAGGCTTAA